TTCAATGTAAGTATGATTGAAGCATTTGGGGAGGATAATTATGATTATGGTGAGATACAGGATGGATTGGAGTGGAGAGAAATAAGAGGATCCATCTCGTTATGACAAATAATTACCACTAGAGCAGAGCCTGAGTAAGGGAATATTTCAACACCACAAATTCTCCCAAAGAGACCCCTGAAAGTGGGTCTTATGAACCTTCTTTAGTCAAGCCTCATTTTGGTCAGAGAAGTATACAGACACCCTTCCATGGTCTGGAAGTTAACCTACAAGAGCAAGACCTGAACTTATGAGCAGCTCCTTCTTCGTGACGATCTTGGAGTGGACCTAGGACCTTACCAAACCCTGGTATAAGGCAAACCTCAGATTTGGAGGCCATAAAATTGCCCTGCTAAAAACTTTCAAGAAAACAAAGAATACCTTAGAATATTTCCATTTCTACCAAAGGAGATTGAGGCCCATGTAAAGGGAGCACGGAGAGTGAGAGAAACAGCATAGCAGGATGGCCATGCAGCAGGATGACAGAGATGGGCAGAGTGACTCCGGTGGGCATGGAGACAATGGGATTCCACTCAGTGAAGCTGTACAGAGGATAATTGACCAAGTGGAAAAGAGTTTTGATCCTTCCAAGTCTGCCATGCACAGGGGCATGTACCAGTGAGACCATTTCTGTTTTTAAAATATTGCAATAGTTCCATCCTGTTGGTAAATAGCTATAGTGAGAAGCCTAAAAGTTCCACCCTGGTGTCCCACCCCTTCCCCAGACTGCTGGACCTCCCCACAATCCAACACCTGGGGGCTTCACATCTGGCCTAGCTGGGGGCCACCAGGGACCTGCTCCCATAGTTCTGTCCCTGTCTGTTCCAGTTGGTCAGTGCCCATGCCACATCAATGGTAGCCTAATATTGCGAATTTCATTTTAGATACTTGCACAGCAGTTTAGGGTAGAGGCCTGGGATGATTCAGAATATGAAAGGGAAGAAATAAGAGGCAGAAACACACACACACACACACCTCTCTGAACCAGCAAGTCTGTATGTTAAATCCCCAGTGTGCTGCCTCTCAGAGCAATGAGCAGCCTGTCATGGTTGGGACCCATCATTTCCATTAACCAGTGTCCCCAAGGTCTAGGTCCTTCTGTATTCATTATCCAGTGGCACCAGTCCTAGATCTTTCTCTGGTTATTCTAGGGAAATAGTATAGCCTCTGCCATCACATTTATCACGACAGTTTCTTCCATGCATTGGACCTACAGCCAGTAGTTGTCAATGAAGCATTCCATGGTACCAGGCTTGGAAACAGGCATCATAAATTGTCATGATTTCTCTACCAACCATGCACTGGCTCAGGATGATGTAGTAAGCAAATATTGTGCAATGAAAATGCTCCAGACAAAGGTGCAGGAGCACACATGGAGCATTAATATTCCTTAGAGTAATAAAAAGTTAATTCGCTGGAGCTCACTGGAGAGATGGAAATACCCCACATTTGTCCAAGAGTCAGGGCCAGCTCTATGCCCTGATCTCTGGGGGAGTTTTAGGAAAAAGAGTCAAGGGTCTTGAGATCCAGTATTGCTATTTGCCTGATGGAGGAGTCTGGACAAATCACTTATTCATTCAATATATGTTTCCTCAGCTGTCAAACAGGTATAAAAATATGCCCCAACATCCCAAAAAGATTGTTAGGGGCTGAGGATCAATGGCAAAAGGAAAAATGCGACGGGAAGTCCAGTTCTCTACAAAGATGAGAAGTTGCTGTTAAATCATAAGGTCCTGAGTAACAGCCATGTTCACTAGTAGCCCTAGACCCAGGATCCCAGGAATTGTGAGGGGCTGCAAAAAGGAGCAAAAGCTGACGTGGAAGGAATTCCATTGAGAATATGGGCTTGAAAATAGTATGTTGCACATGGAAAACTTGGGTTTGAAAATAAGCATTTTCAGGACTTTAGAAAAATAAAATGCAACATCTTGAGCATTAATATACTTAAGTTTTACTATAGAGTAAGAGAATGAAGCAAAAAGGATTCCTTTTCACTCATATTATCTAAGGATTATTTAGTGAGTGAACCCTAGAAAATAATGATAAATGTAACTTCCCTGTTATATTCTATTCATCCTATAGAAATTCACTTCACAAAGCCATGGGACTTGTATGTCTCCTTATATTTCTTTTCTCTTCCCCTACATTTCTTCCCTTACAAGGATGGACCTGCCCTTTCGCTCACGAAGCTGAAAGGTAAAACTTTTATGAACCCTGACTTTGCCTTTACCATCCAGAACCCTCTGTCAAGGTTTACTTGGACAACAGTCTCCACTGGTTAAAACGTCTGTGTTCAAAGGTTCAGGGTTCAGAGATGCCATAGCTTGCTGTGTGATCTTAGGAAGGTCCTATCCCTCTCTGGGTGCTGGCTCTTTCACCAGGAAAGATGAAAGATTTCTCTTTCTCACTGTCAGTAGGTGTCTTCCTGAAGGAACTCTAACTTAATTATAACCCCAAGTTGGCAGACCTTGACTTAGTATAATACCCTGACTATTTTAGGGAGCACAGACAGGGTTAAAGCCAATGGTTTCCATCACAAAAGAAGCCATTCCATGGGGAGAAAAATTCAGTACCCTGTCGGGATTTCTTTCCTTCCACCAAAGGTCACTGCTCCACACCCAGGATCCTCTGGTCCTCGGAGTCCTGAGATGAAAGCTCTGCCTGGCCTCAGGGCGAATACAGAAATCTGTCCTAAATGGACTTCCAAAAACTACACTCTTACTGGAAAGAAAAACAGCAGGAAACGTGACAGATCATTCCACCACTTCACCCCTCAAGCCAGCATGAGCCTCAAATAATATCGAATCTTTCCTCTACATACTTGAAAAATAGTCATTTCCTCTAAACCTTCCAGCTTCATTTTACTACTAGCTCTCCTGGCCTGGGAGAGCTCCTTCACTCTTGTTGCTTTTCTTGTCGGCTACTGAAGCAGGAAGCATGGAGGAAGAAGATTTGAAGGCCCAAGTAATATTTTTTTAAAAAGGAAAGAAAGAAAAAGAAAATTCCTTTGCTCGTTGTGTTGTTCTTGTACTCAGTGGCTTTTCCCATCCCAGCTCCCTCTTAAAGGTAATGGATCCACATCCTCCAAGCCCTCTCATCCTGCCTCAACTTCCTCATGCTTCATGACATCACACACTCTTTCTCGGAGCCACTAGAGAAATTCCCCACCCCCTCATTTAACTCATGGGAAAACTCATGACGCAGGTTCAAGCCAAGCCCCTGGTCATTGTGGACAAAACGCCACAATTCCCGTAAGAATCACACACCAACAAACAACTGGCTAGATCAAGGGATACCTGGTCCTTGGTGTCTTGAGATCAAAACTCTGCCTGATCTTTAGTGCAAAGGGAGAAACCTGCTTTAAATGGACTTCCAGATATCACACTTTTAGATATTGGACTGTCCCTTAAAAAAAAAAAAAAAAGAGGAGTATGGAAGATAAAAAAAACCAGTGTCAATAAAGATGGACACTCCACGTGGGACACCGGTTACGCTCACCTGAAGGCTGCTATTCAGTGTCCTTGGATGTGTCACTGTTTGGACAACAGTCACCATCATGAGCTAATATTTGTTGAATGCCGGGCATTCTTTCTTCTAGGGAAGGACGGTGAAGCGTCTTGAGAGCTCATCAAACTCTTTTGGGCTTCTGTGGTAACAACCATTCAAAACACCAGTCTCCTGGTTGGTTTGGCAAGACCAGCAAGCCAAGAGGAGAGGAGGGGTGTTACCACAATGCCTGTGCCCCAGACCAAACATTCGGTATCTTGACCGCCACCGGCATATGTGTGGTCCTGGCTAGCACAAAGAAACGAAGGTACTTAGTGCTCCTTAATAAGCAAATAATAAACTTAATAAACAAATAATATATAAAGGCACTTAGTGCTCCTTAATAAACAAAAGTCTAAATCTGAGCCAAAAACAAGCCATAACAAAACAAAAAAACAAAACAAAACAAAAAAACCTATAAACAAATTTAAAAAGCTAGGGGGTGCCCCTCACTTGCTCTGAACTGGCTATTTAATCTAAGCATTTTTCTGGTGTGGAACTGTGTATAATTAAGTATGTTTTGGGGACTCATCTTGCCACTGCTTCCTTCGGCCCGTTGATGTGGAGAAAGCACCTCTCACCACACCATCAGCTTTAACTGTGGGATCCTGTCTCATAGCCTAAGCAAAGTTAATGCATGAAACAAGCCCCTGGAGAGTTTTCAGGGGGAAGAGGAAGCAGAAGCCTGCTATCCAGGGAGAGACAGAGGTATTAAAGCTGGGTTTTTGTTTTGTTTTCGTACCTTAATGTCATCTAAGGGCAACTTTTAAGATCCAGACAAAGTTCTTTTGTGATTAGCCAAGACTATTTTCCTTCTTATTGCCACCCAAAAAAACAACTTTAATCATTTCCCTTCATAATTCTCAGCACTTTGGCCCACTTCTTGGGAATTTCAGAAATCATTTGAAATCAGTACAGTAGGGAAAAAAATATTTATTTTCTAAAGTCATTACCTTGACAGGCAAAACAAAGCATTTTCTCAATTTCATTCAGAAATACATTTAAAAAAAATACATAGACCAATATGGCCTGCCCAAATGTATATTTAACATGGTAAATATAAGGAATAAATTGTTCTGAATATAAATATCTATAAAAAAATAAGTACATCAGAATTTAATCCAACCTCTTCCATTAGCCAGTTACATAAAGGAAAATAATTTTACTGCTTTAAAGCATAACTGAATATTTAGTTTGCAATGTCTTTCATAAACAACCCTAGACCATTGTGTTTCCAAGGATCAAGGTAAGGGAACCTTCTTTTTCAAGGATCTTTTTTCTTATGGATCAGAGCTAGTAGATTACCATGAAAATGTTACATCTACTACTGACATGGTAGACCAGATAGCTATGAAGCCAAGAAGGACTACAGAGGTTCCGGGGGAGGGGATGGCAGGAGGGGACCAAACGGGGGAGGGGGGGATATAGTTAATGGTGGGGAAGTACTTCTTTTTTTGGCGGGGGGGAGTACTTCTACCAGAGTGCAATAGAGGTGAGGTAGACTCAGATTCATCAAACCCATCCTGATTTACAGTAGTAGCAGTATCTTTTAGTTTTGCATTTTGTGAATTTAAAAAGAAAAAAAAGTCTTTTTCTTTCTTTCTTTCTTTCTTTTTTTTTAACTTGAGTGTCCTTCGAGAGTGTTTTTAATTTGTGCATTCCTTAGAAAATCTTTGCATGGACTTTGGAGTTTCTCCCTGAAATGTGCCAGGCGCCTGAGTGAGACACAAACACTCCCTTCGGACCCTCTTCAGAAATTCCACCATGTGTGGAATCTCCTGTCCTCCCTCTGGATGGTGACACCCGAAATCACAAGTCACTGTGTGTCTCTCTGCCTTCTGAGTAGTCTCTTGTCACCCCAAACGAGGAGAGACGAAAGCAGTTATCACCAATGGAGGCAAATGAAGATGGATTGGGGGACTCCTTAACCTTCCCTGGAATGTTTAGAGCGAGGGCACTGGTCCATTGCCAGTTGGAGCAAGAAATGGTCGGTCAAAGCAGGGAGGATGCTGTTGCTCTGATCCCAGCCATGGGGAGAGAGTGCAGAATCAGCCACAGGGTTCCCTCCTCGGAGGAGAAGGCTTTCGGGCGGGCCAGCCATGGGCCCTGGTGACCTGCCATCAGTGTGCTCGGTTGTGAGTCACTTGCCTCTCTGTGTAGATCCCCGCCTTCAGCTTTGCAACACGAAAAGCTGTTTTGATGCGGTTGCTGATGGCGTCCAACCTATGAAAACAAGACAAGAGAAAACAAATGTTATTTAAAAAAAATCATTTCTGGGCAAAAGAAGCATCTAAAATTAGAATCTGACACAAACAAATCTAAGTCTGGTTCCTGAACTTTCCCCACTGACCACAACAACGTGCTAATCTTGGTTAACCTCAAGTGAAAAGGCAGCACCCCACCCCTTTATGCCAGGGATGCGGGGAAGGGGAGTGGAGCTACAGTCATATCTGAAGATAATTGGGTATTCAATGCAATTTTAAAGTACATTTTTAAGGTAAACTGGAGATATTCTCTTTTCCTCTGTTGCCCCATCCCAACTCCCATCACCATATGACTCTGTGGAGAAACTACCTTCTCATGGGTTTCAAATAGCTATGGATGTCTTCTTAAACACAAGAGCAGTTAAAGATGACTTGAGGGGAAAGGAACAAAAAGAGAGCAGGCCAATAGGCAGGCCCAAAGCAAATGGTGTACAGCAATGAAAAAATATAAATCTCTATTTTTTACAGGTTTAATATTTTCCTTCGGCAGGAAAAAGAAAGGGAATTCTAAGAGTGATTGAATCGTTGACAGAATCAAAAACAAATACAAAAATAATAATAATTCCTAAGTCAGTTAAGGAACTGTGGCTTATGCAACCCTGTAATCTGGGGGGAGCATTGGGGGCCTGACATTATAAACATGAAAATGACAATGGCCAGCGAGACGTCCCAAACAGCTCAGGATGTCCCGTCCCACACATTAACAGTAAGCAACACAGCACACTTTGATCACAGAACTTCTTGCCACTGGATTTCTAGGAAAATTTCCAGGGAGCAGGGTAGGGAAATGTAGAACACGTGACAGCTCTAATGCAGATTTCTTCCCTCCCACTTGTGAATTCCAAAATCTTTTGAACTTGGAACGGTCATCCCTCTAGAGCTGCCCATCACAACCCCACAGTGTGCACTAATCTCCATCCCTTCACTGCTCCAGCTCGACTAGAAGAGATGAGAGCTTTTCAGAATGATACGGGCTCTCCACAGAATGTACTTCCCTATTTAAAAAAACAAATAACCCCTCCCAAACAGCATGCTCTGATTTTCACCTTCCCTACCTAAGGACTTTATTTTTCCCCTTTGGCCACTGGAGTAACTGCTACTTTGTGAAGAACTTGATCATACATGAGACTCTGACTTAAAAATAAAATGAAGTAAAATAAACACCAAAAACTCCTTTCCCTGAAAGGATTGTTAATTTCCCTAGGAAAGCAGCAAATGCGTTGACTTGGAAAAGCAAGGACTATATAGGACCAAATGACAAATGTGTCTGTAGATGTATCTTGTTGGGAAAATCTAGCTTTGGGCGGAGTGGCACGTGCTTAAGATCATTCAAGGGTACAGTGGGCAAAGGTCTGCATTCAAAAAATATTTGAGAGGGACTCCTTTGCTCTTTTTTAATCTATAGACTCTGAAAGTCTTTGTTCTTTTCTTCTAAACCTTTCTCCTATCAAGGTGAGAACACCTGGGGGAGCAGGCCATTGGCACTGGTGACTGGGGCTAGCTGTCCTTGGGAGTCTCTTACCTTTTCATTTTTCTTCCTGCCACCAGCTGCTGATGAACACACTTTTCTCCAAGCCCAAAACAGTCTTTGCCTTTCTTAGGGTCATTCCAGCTCTTCTCCATACCATCTTGGTCCCTGTTAAAATACAGATAAAGCAAAACATTTCAGCAATGGTACCTTCAGCTCTCACAAAGTCTCTATTAATTTCTCGTAAACAAAAAGGCGACATCATGACGGGAAGGTCGGGAGGTCATAAAACTGGAAGCAAAGGGGTTTCTGCCTCACCTGAATTCTTTTCCCACTTGGCAAAAAGTCCAGCACTTCTTGTCTTTTTGGCTGGCACACTGACATCTCTTCCTGTGGTCTGTTGCCTTTGTGGTAAATAAATCCTTTAAGGATCGTTTGGACCTAGAAGGGCTTCCGAGTCCATAGGGAACAATGTGCCTATTAACAAAAAAGATGAACAAAAGATATCAGCAGAAGTAATAGTAATAGTCTTTGAAATGATGCATTCTGTGGCGCAAACTCATTGCAGTGGGACACAAGGAGCTCCCCACACAGCACCGAGTCATGCAATTTAGGAGAGCCAAGAATGGCGGTGGTCAGGGTCATGGGCCCACCAGGAGAAAACCAGTTTTCTAACTCAATGAAATTCATTTGTCTTCTTAACAAATTTCGGTTTCTTCTCCACACAAGCAGCTTTGTTTTTTGTCCCAGATTATGACATCTCTGCTTTGGTGTCTGTTTCCTATTTTCTTCCTTTTCTGACTTTCCATCTACTTAACAGCTACTGCGGGGGAGGGACCTCGATGCAAAACCATGACTCACATGATTTTGAAAATCTATTTTCAATTCAAGTCATATGATAATGCCAAAAGTGCCTCCTGGGGGTGGGGAGTGGGATCTACTATGGCACGCACGGTTCACCCCCAATTTCACACATCTCCTGCAACTGGTGAAACCATGACTAATAGAAGGACTCGTCGCCAGAAGGCTCCCCAATAAATTCCAAAGAGTCCCTTTTGAGCCTCACCTAAAAGGAATAAAGTCCTCTCCTCGGAAGTATCACCTCCTTGCGGTTTTTGTTTGATTCGATTTTGTGTGGACTGGGGGCATCCCTCACCAACTGGTCGCCCCGTACAAGACACTGTGTGCCGTGTTTTGGTTAACAACTCTGTCCTATGGGTGAGCCCATTTTCAGGATGGAGGAGGACGGGGAATCTGCTTTCTTCCCCACTCTGGAGACAGAAGGGAAATCTACAGGCCATGTTTCCACTGGTGTCTTGAAATGGGCTTTTCTAAAGGGAGAGTACAGAGGAGTCAGGACATCCCTGTTCCAGATCTGACTCTGCCCTGAACTCATTCTTGCACAAATGATGTCCACAACTTGGGTCTGTGCTTTTCTATAAGTAAAATAAAAGGGACTGATGATCACTCTGTACAATCCCTTCTGCCTCCCAGGGGTAGCACAGGTTAGACTAACCCATGTCCGACCATGGCAGCTGATTCCTTAAACCCAAGCGGATGCCACCAAAAGACATCCCTGCTCAGAAGTGTGTAGCAGGGGACTGCCTGCCATCAGCCTTTTCCATCTGTGCTGTCTGGAGTCTTTGAGCCACAGGGCCTCAAGAAGACCCTCCCCTGTGTTTCAAAGAACCACCCCGCCCTGTATTTACAGGAATGGGGAGGCACTATCCCCACACCCCCGAGGCACCTTCATGTTGCCAGAAGAGCTACCTTCAGAATCCAAACCAGGACCCCTGTCCCAGAGCAACTAGTGTCCCTCGGCTCCAGTCTCTGGAGAAGCCAGAGGTAAGGAATAGCTAGAGTGACGACGCCCTCTAGAGACTCACTCGGGAGTGTTGACCCAGATGATGTCGAGGTGGCAGAAGTAGACGCACTCTTTATCCATCAGGGAGGAGCAGGAGCAGCGCTTGGACCGGCGGGCCCGCCAGGGTGCACTGGGGGCGGGCTTCTCCCCTCCGCTGTCCAAGCCCGTGCTGAGCTCCGCGCCCAGGACCGCTGGGGAGAGAAAGAGCAGGTCAGCAGGGCACGTTGCCTGGGATGTGGCCGAGCAGATAAAAGCCTGTGAAGCATGCAGCCCACCTTCAGCAAGAAACACAGAGCAAAAAGGGCTCTTTATCTTTCCCCTCCTTAACATGACTTCACCTTTACCCCGACTGGCTTATCCACTTTCGGGGAGATTACACACGGGCAGGGGGAACAGCCACCTGAAAAGGGGACCGACTGGCCAGCTCCCAGAGAAATGCGTGGATAGCCGCCTGTTAGAAATCTGGGGTGGCTTCTGCATGGAATTTAAAAGGACAGCCCAATTTCGTAGGACAGTGGCTTAAAGTTGGTTGATGACCAAAGTGCTAAAGTTACATGAACCACCCGCCTCTTCCTAGGTGCCGAGCCACTTCCCCATGCAGCTTACGGGAGAATCCACCACTTCACACCTGGTAGAGGGCAGGGAGGAGCCCAGGTGATATATAGTCCTTGAAATTAGGTGGCGTTCAAGAGCTTTGAGGGGATGATTGGAGAGAAAGAAGAGAAACCAGCTCTACAATATTCATCTCAAGTGGTAAACTCTAGAGTAAGTGTTGACCTAGGGTGAGACTGAGCAGCGGCTCAGGGACCTAATCAAGGTTCTGTGGATTTTGAACGCAGGATCCCCGGAGCAGGACAGCGTGTGGGGGACTTGCCGCCTCCCCCTTCCCCACCACAGCATGGCCTCTTACTGACAAGTTAGCCATGTGGCTTATCTGCCCAATTTTGTACATTTCAAATGATCAGACACATTCCAGGATTTTCATTGCCTTGACATCTTTTCTCTTTAGTCAGGGTCATGAAAAGCCACACAAAAAAGGGCATTGACCCTAAGAAGGGGGAAACGGGCAGATATACGCGTACTATCTAAATCCTCAGGCAGCCAAGATTTATCTTAGCTCCCCTTCAACAACAGGTGAATAAAACTGAAAATAGCCCTCACAGTGTTTTGGGTGCCAAAAACCTGCCAAAAGAAAACTAAAGTCAATAATGACAAATTTTAAAGAAAACATCTGCTTCACCCTGAAACCGCCTGAGGGTGATTTTACTGCTCATACATTGCTTGAATGACTTGAATAAAATTCCTTGGCTTCGAGCTGAAATTAATATTTTACACATTCACACACTATTAAAACATGATTTAAATAAGATCTGTAAGTCCTTCTATGTCCTATTACCCCTGTACGAACACATACACTGCAAATATACATTCGGCTACATTATATCTTGTCTTTACTTTTCCTGAGTTATATTTTTAAAAGCCAAAAAAAATACTCTATGCATTAATAACAATAAGTTATCCCAATGCTATAGGAGAAATTGTTTTCAATTTCCCCACCAGAAAACTTAAGTAGCTTTGAGCAATAATTCCCAGACACTTGCTCTCTGAGCTGCAGTCCTAAAAAGAAGTGGAAAACAGAAGCGAGAAAAACATTAAGGAGGACAAGAAGACATTAACGTTCAGAGACGTGCAAGTCGGTGTGCCTACCTGCTTCTGGAGCTCCTTGGAAAGCCACAAACAGCAGAGAGAAAATCATGGGGAAATAATCCATTCTGAAAAAAAAAGGGGGGAGGGAGTGGGGATCAAAGTCCTCCCCTGCCAACTGAACCCAAAGGAAAACGAAGAAAAATAATAGCTTCGGGTCCCTCAAAGCTCTTCTGGTTATTCAGATCTCAAAGTGAGCCTTCAGCCTAAGTGCTCTTTAACGGAGAGAAAAAAGAAGTTTCTGCCAGGAGGGCCGGCAGTGGGAGCGGTCTGCGGGCGCACGCGGCGGTGGCGTGCGGGGACAGCAGCGCGGACCGAGGACCCTGTGCGCGCTCGCCCCAGCGCCGCTGCAGAAGCGCGTCTGACTTGGACAGCTCTCCGCCGCCTTTTTATATTGAACCCCTATAGAGTGGGGGTAAACAGCTCCAACTTTATTCCAGCCCCAGACAATGTTATTGTGTTATTAGTCACCAACAGGCAACGTGCGGCCGGAGATAAGGCCAGGCTCTAAAGGAAATCACTGCTAACTTCAGAGGCAGACGCCCGCCGTCTGACAATTCAGGGGCAGGGCTAAGAACAAGAAAATACCCATTTAGAGACCTTTGGTAAACCTGCCCGTGCGGCGCTTGGGTCTGCTTCCCCTTTTGCAAGCTGCCAGCCCCAGAGTTCAAGAATCAGAAGAGGGACTCCAGAAAAGTCATACCATTGGTATGAAAAGTATGAGCTACAGTTTAAATAGATTGTATTGTTGCGCGCGGGGATTTTTTTTTTAAATTGTTGTTCACTTCGTTTTTCCTTTAATGTCTCCGATTTCTTACTGTTGATCAAACAGGGGAACGCTTTCCCTCTTCACTCCCCGCCCCAACTCACTGGGGGTCAGATTATTTTGGCACATCGAGGTACTTGTCCCTTACTCCAAGCCCCCTCCCCCAAGTCTTTTTTGCTAGAGCTCTTGGCGCGCACAGTAAAAAAGATCAATGAAGGAACAGCAAGGAAAGAACGTTTTTTAAAAAAGAGAGAGAGCGAGAGCCCTTCCAGGCACATACCTCAGTGCTTTTGATATCACTGAGTAGAAGCCCCATAAACTTTTTTTCTGTGCCCACCCTCTTTCCCCTTCCCGAAACGCCCCCCGCCCCCAACCCCCAACCCCCGTTCAGTAGCACCAATGTTAAGACATAGGGGGAGAGGAACGCCAGGGGGCGATGAAGAGCTACAGGGGCTGATGTTTTCTGAGAACAAAACCGAAAAGCCCAGACTGCCCGGTAGCAGGAGGAAGGCAGCCTAAGATGCTGAAGAACGGGAAGGAAGGGCGCCTCCTCCCATGAGAAAGGGGTGCCCCTCAGAACAGTCACTTGCCCCCTGCGCAGGGACACCGCTTCTGAATCGTTCTTACCCCTCGGCTTCTTCATTTAGGGCAGGGGTGTTCCAGTGCGGGGTTAGGTGGCTAACGAAGTGAGGGTGGTTTTGGGAGGGAGGAAATGGCCCGGCTGAAGAAGGAGATCGGATAATAGCTCCCATTTAATCGTGCGTTTCCATTTTCAAAGCCATTTCTGTCTCTTTGCCCTTAAACTACCCCCTGAAGTCCCCGGGAAGGGGGTGGGGGGCAGCCCCTGTGGAGTTGAACGTGCTGTGTGGAACGTGCTATCAAGCGAAACGTACTGTAAGACATTGACTTTTTCCAGTAGCCTCGTGTGTCCGAGGCTCCCAAAGTTCTTGCCGTGCGCTGAGTGTAAGGCCGAGGGGAGAAGCTGAGAGCATCCTCCCTGCGCAGGAAAAAGACGAGTCTACACCTAGCACCTGGGGACGCCATCAGATAGACGCTTGCAGCACTTCCTCACCTTGTTTAACTCCAGTCTCCTCCCCAGGGTGGGCGAGGGATGGGGGTATTCAAACGCGGGCCCATTTCCAATACTCAGGAGGATCCCCTCAAACCATTTCTTCCTCCTTCTCCCTGCTTACCCCTCACCTCTAGAATCAAAGGGACAGATTTCATCCTAGAACCAAACCTATGGACCTGGGCACCCTGGGGCCCCTGGACCTCCCTGCAAATCCCAGTGGGGGCGACAGCAACAGTAGCGGAATCAGGTGCATAAGGAGATCTGCTCCCTGGAAAAAGCACCGTAGCAAGGGCTGGAGCTGAAGGAGAGGCAGGAACCCTCCCTCCCACACCCATACCAAACAGGCCTCCACCCATTCCCCCGGGACTCTGCCTGGGCCTTCTGCCTCTTCATAGGCTTACCTCAGCCCAGCCCTGGAGGCTGGGGAGGGCATAGCTCGCCCTAAAACGAGGTGACTTCCCGCTGGAAGCCGGCTTTGCCCCCCCTCAGCTCTGGCTGGTGTGTCCCAACTTCCTCCCCTCAGCACATAAGAAGAGTCCAGAAGAACTGATGTCCCATTCACAGGCCCCAAGCTCCAACCCCCACTCCCGCCTCCCCCCACGCAGCGAGAGAAAGGTTGCCTGGGACACCCCTTCTTTAACCTCCTGGCAACGTTGACAAAACCCTGGTCACAGTCTGGACCAACCTGTCCTAAGCTCCTCCCCGGAAATGACCGCCCCCGCCGCCCTCTCTCCAGATCGAGCCTGGGCTACCCTCCAGCAGGGAAGCCCCTCTCCCCGCCGCCCCCACATGACCGAGGCTGCCCCTGCGGGTGCCAGCAGCTCCCAACAATCAGGTGGAGACATGAAGCAAAATGAAAACTGCCCACACGCCTTCCCACAGTCTCCCCTCCTCTCCTGTGTGTGTCACCTGTGACTGCGTTTCAATTATAAATACAAAAAGTGGGCAGTAATCCACCCCCGCCCCTGACCCCAGGCCTTCTAGGACTCTGGAAGGTAAATGCACAGGGTTTCAGATCTGGGAGAATCCCATTGTTCCAAGGGCCGTCTTGCCCCCATCTCTGAATCCTGAGTTTCAAGACGCCTATGGGCATGTTTACCTCTGACCTCTCCTTCACTGTGTGTCTTGGGGGGAGCGGTGGGATCTGCCCTTTCCATCTCCCTTTCTATCTCCAACTGGGGGTGCAGCCCCCTTTCCTTCTGCCAGATGAAGGGGAAACCCCTCTCAAGCTCAGAAAAGGCCAGGCGACTGCCCAGCAAGACTTTTTCCCAAGAAGCAAAGAGAGGGAGGAAGAACCCCAACAAACCAGTTTTACAAGCTCTGTGTTCCCTCTTCTCCACTTACAGCATTGCTGGCCTGGGAGGTAGGAGAGGTGGATGTGAAAAAAGCCAGATAAAGTAATGCATGTGGACATCCCACCTCCCTCCACAGCCTGAACCTTGCCCCTTCAAGATCGCCGAGGGTGTGGGCTCTTTGTAGCCACAGACCTCAGAGAGGAAAGGGTAGGGAAGAGAGAGAAGACTGAAGAACATGGCTTTTTTCTTCAATAGAACAGTTTGCTATTGCTGTTCTTGCTTTTGATATGACACTTGAATACTGGAAACTATTTGATAAAGCTATTTTTTATGTATTTCTTTCTGTATCTCTTGCTGTGTATTAATAGATATCTATAAATAAAACACCCGGAGCCCAAAATGTGGATACTACACAGTAGCAAAGTGTACTGTTTTTAGCACTCCTCGGCTTTGCTCTTTCTCAACTTTTGCGTAATAACATTTGCAACTTTGCCAAGCCAATAAATCTGGCGTGAGATGTTGCATTTAGCTCAGCAAGAAGAACAGACGTTAGGTTGCTTGACGATAGCCCGAAGGATGGGAAACTAGCTTAGTACAGGCACAGCAAAGCTCTCCATGTCACTAGACTTGGTTCGATCATAATATTGTCTCCTGTTTGACATTTTCACTCTGCATAGGGTGAAGCACAGAGGTCCCAGCGTGATGTTGCGCAAGAGCGTGCACTACTGATCTTACTCCGTGATACATTACACACCTCCAGGAGTCATCAACAGCACAGCTTCCCTCTACAGCCCAGAATATAATGGTCGATTCAGTGAAGGAAATAAGATGACACTCAGGAGAGATTCACTGCCTGCATTTTACAAACATGTAATGTCTCCTTGACGCTTTCATCCATAAGCCAAAAACAGCAAGTCTTTAGTTTCAGAGAATGTGTGCAATTCTTTAACATGGTATTCCCCTGTCCTCAGTCACTCATAAACGTCTTTCACAATGTTGCCATCCTTATGGGCCACCCGTACATTTTTATGGAACATTCTCCATTCACTGATGAATTTCTTCTCTTTTCTTTTAGGATTTTAATTATTTGTTTTAGAGAGAGAGAAATAGAGAGGAGAGCCAGAGAGAGCATGAGCTATGAGGAGGGGCAGAGGGAGAGGGAGAAGCAGACTTCCTGCTGAGCAGAGAGCCAAAAGCCGGACCCAGGACCCCAGGATCATGACCTGAGCCAAAGGCTGACGCTTAATCTACTGAGCCACCCAGGCGCCCCATGACTAATTTCTTCTACTTGAGTAATTTTAAGGCAATTTACTATTACTGCTATCGTAAGCAGCAGTATACATGAAGCCATGCTTTGTAGAGTTAAGTAATGTACATGAAATCATAGTTTAATACATGTTAAAATGAACATAACTATTGTGTGTTCATTAAGCTATTGGAAATAAAAAATATTCAGGCACATATATCACCTTATATCCTAACACTCTTAGGGAACATGGCTCCTTACATGGTAATGTCTTATACTTTGTTATGTTGAGAAGCCCTGGTTTAATTCAGCCCTCTGAATCTGCTTTAAGGTCATCTCAAAATATTCTGCATCAAAGCTCTCATACGAGCACACTTCAAAGAAACAGATATTCCAACATTCAGAATCTACAGAAACAGAGTCTATGTCCAAAAGTTCCTAGTCGATATTTCCCTTGGGTTTATCACCTTAGTGTTGTTTTTGACCCCCTATCCTGAATTTAAATACCCTCTTTGAGTGTTTCTACTGGCATGTCAATCACACACACACACACACACACACATGCACCCCACATATGGATATAGAGATTGGAATGGGAGAGTAATTATAATATTTCACACATCAGAGAGACCAAACAATGTGTCGGCCAGTGGCTGCTTCCCCATCTTTTTCTCTTTAATTTTAATCCTACGTAATTTCTGACATGTGGAACTAAAGAGACTCTGATGTGGGGGTTAAAGAAGAACACCACTTGAGAGTGAGTTGAGTAGAATCAAGTCACTTCATTAAACCAGATCTATGTAGTCATTCTAGACAAGCTTTCCTTCCACGTTTTTGAATGAGATGACAAAAGAAACTCATTGTGGAGCAGTTGCCCATAAATACAATGGCTATCTTCGTGTTTCCTTAGGCCAGGGGCTTGTGTGTGAATGAGTAGGCTGCCTCTGGTTAAGTGTGGTCAGAATGCTTTCCGTGATTCCATTTCAATATTGACGGTGTATTTCTTTTTTTGTCTTCTAAGAATTTTTTTTTTGTTATGGTTTTTTTGTTATGGCTTATTGGATTTACGGTGTCAGGGGGACCAGATGGCCGATGATGAAAGAAAAAAAACCACCATTTTAAGTGGAATGGTGGTTACCAATGGTTGGGGTTGGGGGGCGGTAATAGAAATAGGG